TAGAAGGTGGACAAGTGGGCCCCAGAAGTGTGCTGGGAATGGAACCGTGGTGGAGGGTGTTAGCTGAGGGAGGCGAATATAGTAGAGCTCGGATCTGCCTTATGTGGGGTCTGGGGTCTTCAGCACAGGGCTGGGGAACTTCCAGGCCTCTGGATAAAGCCTGACTTCTGAAGGGAGGTTTTTTGGGGGGGGGGCATTTTTGCCTCCCCGGGGCTATATCTTTGGTTGTCACAACTTCAGGAGGGCTCCTGGCCTCTGGTGGGTAGAGGCCCAGGATTCTGCTTGGCATCCTGCAATGCAAAGGACATCTCCCCAGTGAAGAATCCTGGTCCCAAGTGTCCGTAGTGCTGAAGTCGGGAGATAGGGTGCTTGATGAAAGTTTGGGGTGGGTGGATGGGTCTAATCAAACATGGGGGTACAGAACTCCCATCCAGCTTGGTAGCAGATGCTTCAAATAGGCCATCCCCTGCGGGTGGTGCTGGGGCTTCTGGAACAGGATTTAATCTGTGGTGTGTTTGTTTATGGCAAAACCCAGGCTACCCAGAGCCCCTGGGGAAATAGCCATTCTAGAGAGAATTTTCCAGGTTTCAGAGGGCTTACTCATTTAAATATTTCAATTTTTATTTTTCTAAAGTTTAACAATTTTGGGTAGAAGTCATTTTTTTTTTAAAATGCTGAATACGTGACATGTTAACCCTCTCCCCTTTCTGGACATCCCAAGGTCATCGTCATTATCCACACAACTCTTGTCTTGGGCTACATGATATGGAAGTCCTCAGGGGTCATCGGTGGGTGTAGAGTTGTTTGTGATGCACTAAATATCCCCAAAGTTCTTATGTTTGTTTTTTTTTAGTGTCCTCTTTTCTCCCTGCCTTTTGATACTTCTCACCACTGTCCACAGGCCTTCCTTCTCTCTCCTTTTACTTTTGTTGATTTTATTCTGTGGTGGCCTTGGAAACCAGACATCCAGAGACCAGGCTTGCTGGAGCCGTGCTCCTGTGAACCGGCAGTGTTCTTCCTGGGCTGAGTGTCCCTGCACCTTGTGAGGAAAGCACTTGAACTTGATGACGCATAGATGTAGTGACCGCTGTTTTGATGCTCAGAAGCTTCTCTTCCTCTGCGTCCTGGTTCTTGGTCGGGTTCCACATTGCCGAGGGAGCAGAGGACGGATAACTGAGGCAGTTGCCGTCTTCGTCATCATCAAAGTACTATCACCAACAGGACACGGGGTTTCTGTGTTCCAGGCCTTGTCTTAACGGCTTTACCTGTAACATACTCTCAGCCGTCCTGTATCTAACAGTTCAGATAACAAAATGGAAGCACGGAGACATTGTATGTGCTGGACAAAGACAGCTGGTATAAAAAGTCGGGAAGCTGGGGTTTAACCCGAGCATGTCCTACCAACCAGGGCTCGCTAGTCTGGAGATCACATGCTGGCTTTCTAAAGGAATGCAGCCTCAGCTGGTGAGGACTGGCTCCAGGAGTCAGGTGGCCGGACTCCGCTTGGGTCTTCTGGAGCACACCCCGTGAAAGCATATGTCAGTTCCCCAGGGTGCGCAAGAGTGTCCCCATCCCTTAGTCGGCGAGGGAGCCCATGAACGCCACAGCTTGCAACAACCCAGAGCGGGCATCATGGCCCCCCTTTTACAGGTCAGCTCTTTCTACCGTGAAACACTGCCCAGGACAGTGGCCATCTGAGTGCACCATGCTGTGCCCGAATTCAGAGGGGACCACTGGGTCCTAAGTGCCTCACCTGAGACCCTTGTGTAGAAATATTGTAAGAGCCATTCAGTTAGGTTATCGGGACTGTAAGTATTTGAAAGCACACAAAAGGGAAGAGAAAACGTGCAAAATTTGTTTAGAGACACCCCCCCTGCATGTCTAGGTCTTGTTGCACCTGCAGGGAAGTGGCTCCAGGGGCCATGGTCCGAGGCCCTGTTGGCTCTGCTGTGTCCACAGGGGCTGTTTGAGTCCCGGCCCTCCTAGAGCCCGTGAGGACTTGTCTCCCTGGTTACAACTCTTCCACACCCTTCTTTCCGCGGGGCTCCCCTGGCTGGACCGACCTGAGCCAGCGTGAGCCTGTGGTAGCTGGGGGCTGCTCTCCTGGCCCCCTCCACCTGAGCTGTGCACTCAGCAGGAGCCTCTCCCTGTTGTTGAGGGACTGGTGGTTTAGGAAGGTTGAAAGAGACTTAACAGGTGCTCCTTGGAGAGGAGAGGTGTGGACAGACACGGAACGAGTCCGGGCCGCTGGGGGCAGTCCTGGAGCGGCTTTGGGCCTGAGTCATTAGGGCACCACGAGGAGGGGGCAGGTGGGCAGATGAAGAGTAATAGGGGTGTCAGAAACTGCAGATTCTGGTGGTGGCTCTCCCCGCTTCTCACTCCCTCACCAGACATGGCCTGGCCCGGGGATCTCTGGCAGTAGTTTTAAAAAACGGACCCAATCTGTGCCCTTTTAGGCCACAGATGATGAAGACCTTCACCTGGAGGTTCTGGCGGGTGAAGCTGGGAGGTCTTTCTAGGGGAGAATGATGGCTCCAGAAGGACTTAAGCCCATTCCGTGGTGAGAACCTTGCAGACACGTTCCTCCTTCCGTGCTCCTCGGCACCACTCCGGATGGAGGCAGAACCCACTAAGCCTCCCAGGAGTTTTGCTGGAGTCAGAGGGGCCCATGTTCCCATGCCAGATTCGTGGTCTCCGTCTCTGTGTGCCCTGACTTGCGCATCTGTCGAAGTTGGGGTAGCGCCCCCCACCATGGGTTGCCGCAAAACTGAAATTGGTTAGCACAATCTGTAAGTTGCTTAGCACAATCGCGTGGGTATCCATCATCTCCATCTTCAGGGCTTCGGACCGTCCCTGGGGGCCCCACCGCTCTGGAAACAGCACCTAGAGTTCTCCTTCCCTTCCTCTCTCTGCAGACAATGGCGACGAGCCCTCTGAAGGAGGCCTGGTTGAGAACCACGTGGATGGGACCGTGAACCTTTTGGGCGGTGGAGGCGGCGCTGGCCGGAAGCCCCTCAAGTCAGGCATGAAGGAGTTGGCGGTGTTCCGGGAGAAGGTCACCGAGCAGCACCGGCAGATGGGCAAGGGGGGCAAGCATCACCTTGGTCTGGATGAACCCAAGAAGCTGCGGCCGCCACCTGCCAGGGTCAGAGGGGCCGGGTCTGCTCGGAGGGGTGGGAGGTCTCTCGGTGGGGGAGGATACCCAGTACCATCCATGTCCTACTGTAGGCAAAGCACTTTCCTTTCTGGTTCTGCCACTGGCATGTTCAGGGACCTTCAGGCTCATCAGGGTCTCTTTCGGGGCCCTCAGTATCTTTGGCTATGAAAGAGCCTGGGTATCTGGGTTCTTGAAGTCCCGTCCTTCTGACACCTCCACATTTCTGCTTGGCTTCAGGACATAGGCAAGGAGATGGATGCTAGAGATGGACATGGACTCACTTGAACTTGCTCGAGCTTGCTGGGATGTGTTCCTCTCACTCGGCTGCCCCCCCCAGCCCCTCCAGCTCAGCTCTGTTGTCTTGGGTCTTGGTCCTGGTTGGGTTGATGGAAAGGAATGGAGGTTGGCCCACTGGGTCGGGGTAGACATCCTCCAGAGACTGCCACTTGAATTCACCTTTCCAAGTAGATCCCATTTTGGCCCCCGAAAGCCATTAACACAGAATGAAAGACGGGTGAAAACGCCCATCCATGTGACTTTCTTTAGGGGCTGGGGTGTAGCACGATGACATGTTAGTGAGCACTTTCGGAAGTCCCTGGTTCCACCAGCTAGCTCTGTGGCCGGGGGAACATCCCTTCCCTGCGCATGAGCTGCTTTCTGAGGTTGTACCCAGGACCAGTGTTCCGTGAACGCAGTCTCCCTCTGAGCATCCTCTTTGCCCGTCTGTCCCTGTCTGCGCCCACAGACCCCCTGCCAGCAGGAGTTGGACCAGGTCCTGGAGCGGATCTCCACCATGCACCTTCCAGATGAGCGGGGCCCTCTGGAGCACTTGTACTCCTTACACATCCCCAACTGTGACAAGCACGGCCTGTATAACCTCAAACAGGTGAGAGAGGCTATCCTTGGCCCTGGGCCCCGAGCCCCGGCCGTGCCTTGCTCCTGCCCCCCCCCGCCCCCCATCATCCCCTGGGGTCTGAGAGCTGAGGGGGGCATGGGGATACCAGCTGCCAGGCCTGTCGGAGGCTGACTCTACTTCCTCGGCTACCTGCCATCAGCCCTTGGTGTCCAACTTGGGCGGGAGCCCCTGGGAGAAGCAATGCGGGGTTACACTAATGCTTCTCACTGTTTTATTGAGCATTAGAATCTCCTGGCAGGGACTCCTGGGCCTTACCATTCCAGAACCAAGAGCTTGCATTTCTCACAAAGTCCCAGGGATTGCTGATGGTCCATGGAGCACACTTCCCAAATCACTGATTTAAACCATTGAGAAATCGCCTCTGTTGACCCCCTCCCCCCCCCAGGGGGGTCTCACTTCCCTACCTCCCTCAGCCCAGGCAGGCATCTTGCCCCTCGAAATACCAGTCTAGTTCAAAGCTGTGTGTACACGTGTCCTCTAAGTGTAAGCCGACTACCACATTTGGAGCTCAAAGGAAGAAATAGTGATCTCTGCTAATGAAAAACAGGCTGTGTCCTGTCCCTTCCCGGTAACTAAAGGGATTTTCCATGGTCATTAATTAGTTTATGGGGAAGAGCAGGGACCCTGGGACAGGAATTGGCTGGGTTCTGCATCTCAGCTAGGGCTCTTACTAGCTGTGTGACACTGGGCAAGTTACTTAACCTATCTGTGCTTCCTTCTGATCCTCTGTAAAGTGCTGAAATAATGGTACCTGATCCATAAGGCGGTTGTGCGGATTAAATGAACGGTAGGGGGCGCCAGCTGGCTCAGTCGGAAGGGCATGCTACTCTTGATCTCAGGGTCGTGAGTTCGAGCCCCACATTGGGCGTAGAGCTTACTTACATAAATACATAAATTAACTTAAAAAATGAGAGCTAGGAACTGTAAGTGAGCAGCGTGTAGATGACTCCCACAGTGCAGGGCCCACACTAGGGCCGTGCGAGTGTTGACTGCTATTACATGCGGTTTTCACTTCACACTATAACTAAACCCCGGTCTGCTGGGTCCCGCACTGGGGGGGACCTCCCTGCGGGTGGGCACGGAGTCTTTCCAACTTGGGCATCCCCCAACACCTAGCTAACGTGGTCCGTGGGCCAGGAGCACCCGCGTCACGTGGGAGCTTGTTAGCCAAGCGGTTTCAGCCCTGCTCCAGACCTACTGAAGGGGAATCCGCATTTTCGCGAGATCGCTGGTGCATGGTCAGGATTTTGGTCAGGGTTTCTCAGCACCGCCCTGCAGTGCTAGTTTGCACGCCCTGGAGCTGCTCAGCAAACCTCAGGCTGAGTGAAGGGAAGGAGAGGGGCTGGCTTCAGGGCTGTTCTGCACGTCCTCTTCTCTCCTCAGTGCAAGATGTCTCTGAACGGGCAGCGTGGGGAGTGCTGGTGTGTGAACCCCAACACTGGGAAGCTGATCCAGGGAGCCCCCACCATCCGGGGGGACCCTGAGTGTCATCTCTTCTACAACGAGCAGCAGGAGGCCCGTGGGGTACACAGCCAGCGGATGCAGTAACCCCCAGCCAGCCGGTGCCGGGCACCCCCCGCCCCCACCCCCTCTCCAAACACTGGCAGAGAGAGGAGAGCCTTGCGTGGTGGGTGGGGAGGGTTTTCCAGGAGTGTTGACACGTGTATTTATATTTGGAAAGACCAGCACCGAGCTCGGCACACCCCCGCCTTCCCCCTCCCCAGCGGGAGCTGCCTGCACCCTCGCCTTCTCCTGTCCCAGCTGGGGAGGAAGGGTGCTTGCAGGGGTGGAGCTGGGGGCAAGGCTTGGGAGGGGGGAAAAAGAAATTTTTATTTTTGAACCCCCGTGTTTCTTTTGCTTAAGATTAAAGGAAGGAAAAATAAACCGTGTGTCTTTTGCCTGAGTCTTTGGGGCTTCCCTGGGAAAGAGATCCGGGGTCTGCCTGTCTCATCTGTCCAGCTCTGTCCCTGACTCCTGGGAACAGGGCCTGGGAAGGGGCAGGCACAGCTTTGGTTGGGTTGGGAATGAAAAGGATGGGTCAGGAGGAAGGGGAATGTCCTCCCTCAAGTGGCCTTGGCCTAGGGAAACTTAAAGCCCCCAGTCCAGGCGAAATCCTCCAGTAAAACCACAGGAATCTGGTGTCTCCCCCTGGACTCCCAGCTGAATGAAGCTCGGGCCCCTCGGTTGCCCCTGGGTGGGCACTGAGGGAGGAAGGTAGAGCGAGTGCCTTTCTCTCTCCCAAGTTCAGGTGCATCACAGAGGGAGGCAGAACAGGGAGACCCTGCAACTGCGGTCTTCTGGCCCCTAAAATAAGGAGAGCTCCCTTCTGTGCGGGGGAGTGGGGGGGTGACAGCCCCAGGGCCTCAAGGAAAGGGAACGGGGCTGGTGCACGCCAGCATGTCCACCACACTGTTGCCTGAGAATTCAGGTGCTGCTCTCCAAGGGGCCCAAGTAACTGGCTTCTAGAACAGCAACCTTAACGAAGACTGACTACACATGCGCAGATGCGGACCCTATTTCTGAAGCAGAATTTTTTTTTCTTTAAAGATTTTATTTATTTATTTGACAGACACACAGAGAGAGGGAACACAAGCAGGGGGAATGGGAGAGGGAGAAGCAGGCTTCCCGCAAAGCAGGGAGCCCGATGCGGGGCTTGATCCCAGGACCCTGGGATCATGACCTGAGCCGAAGGCAGATGTCTGAAGCAGAATTCTATGCGAGAGCTCAACCCACCGTGTTCTGGGGGCCCCTAACCCCTGGCGAATTGCAGGGGGCTCTTCGACGTTGCAGTGGGCCACAGGGAAAGGAGTGCTCCGCTCCCTCCTCTCCCTAGCACAGGGCACAGAGCCCCACCTTTCACGGTAGTCCCTCTTCCGTGTCTGGAGTCTGACCCTTTCCTGCCGGGAGGCGAGGGGAGGTGGCTCTGCTCCACCCATATCCCTCCTGACCTTCCTTCTAGAGGCAGAGACACTTGGGGCCCTCACGGGTGGTGGCGGTGGGGGATGAGCTTCTCCCCTTAGAAGAAAACCACGTCCCCCAAAGCAGACCTGCCCTAGCCAGAGTGCTCTAGGTTGCACCAGGCCAAGGCCAAGGCCAGCCGGCCATTTGGTCATTTAGCTAGGCCATTTGGTCTGCTGCTCTGGAAGTGAGTTAATTCAGTTAGTCCTCATGAATCCATAAAGGAGGCACTATTCGCTCTACTTTACAGATGAAGAGAAAAATCTACAGAGGTGCCCAACCTCCATGGCCCAGGCTGGGACCCCTAACTCCAGAGTGTGAGTGCTGCTCAACCCCGGGTTATGCTGCCCTCTCTGGGCGGAAGCAGGGCAGGCTGCCTGGAGAGAGCCTAGGGCACTCTGGACGTGGGTTGGATCTGCCCCCCTGTGGGTCAGCCGTCCCTCCCTGGGGTCTGATTTTCTTTCATCCACGGGTGAGGGTGCTCCTGCCACCCCTCTCTGTGCCCCTCAGCTGTAGCCCGGAGCTGGTGTCCTCTGTCGGGACGGGGCAGATGGTGCTGGCTGACCCGGCAGGTACAGCAGCTCTCAACCGTGGCTGACATTGGAGTTGACTGGGGCACTTAAAATACTCATGTCCGTGCCCTGCCATCGGAGAGTCTGATCTGATTGGCCTGGAGTGGAGCCCAGATAGGTTGGTTGGTTGGCTGGCTCGTTGGTTTTAAGGTTCCCAGGTGATTCTCATGCCGAGCTGGGCAAGAGGAAATGCTGGAGTCAGGACACCTGGGTTTGAATCCCGTCCCACCGCTTGCTGTTTTATTGCCCTGGAGCTACATAACTCGCTTTATCTGAGACTCAGTTTTCCTCATCTGTCTAATGGGGATGATCTCAGCCTCAAATAGCAGGGTGATATCCATGTGAGACTGTGGATGTGCTTTGAAAACTAGAGGACCTTATAAAATGGGAGGGGTTATCATGGGGCCGTTGCAGCGTGTGGCTTCTGAGCTTTGAGGAGATGGAAACACCATGCCAGCCCCCACGCCCCAAGGCCTCCGACTCGGGTCGTCTCTGTAATATTTTTGCAGAGTGCATTTGAGCACATCACAACCTCCCTGCCTGTTTCTATGTCACTTGCCCACAGCCTCCCTGTCCTCTAAACCCTCCGAAGAGGAGGATTTTATGGGTGTGCGAGCAGCACTCTGTGGTGGCTCTAGCTACAGGAACCCCACTGATGGATGGATAGTATGCCCTAGAAACCTTTTCTGAGGGAAAATATTGCATCCAAGTGGGAAGATGGCTGGGCAGGGATCTTGAGGATGTCAAGCCGGCTGGAGCCTTCTGGAACTGCCCGGCTGTGGACAAACACTGGGGCTATACTGCCACCTTGGGGCAGCACAGGAAACTGCAGCTGAGTTTACGCCTGCCCTCCGAGGGTCATTTTGCTTAAGCTGTGGTCCCAAGAAGTCCATTGTGGGTGTTTGTTAAACTCACAGAAGCAGGGGACCTGTCATTGCAGGCTACCTGAGCTAGAACCTTGGGAAGGCATCTGGGAATCTGTACTGGGGCATGCCCTCTGGGCAATTCTAATGCATGGAATCACCCAATTTCTCCGTGACCCAATTTGTAGAAATCAGGGCACCTTCAGAACCCCTCGTTCAGAAATTATTAAGAATGTCAAGACAGTGACAGCAGAGCATTAAGCCAAGCACAGGCCCTGCGTGACTGCATGGGATGCATGCCTGGGAAGCCGGCCCTGTTCTTAAGCCCTCTGGATTTGGAGGGCCACCACTTGCAGCGACCACGGGTGTTAGATGCATCTTGAGTACTGGCTCCATTTGATGTGGTAGGTGAGAGCATGCGCCTGGAGGTAAGGCAGTCTTTGGACAGGATTTGGGCTCTACTACTTATGACTTACGTGACTTTGGACACATTCCTAACCTCTGAGCCTCATCTACTTCATCTTTAGGTATTGGGATAATTTCTATTTCAAAGAATTGCTTTGAGAATATAAAGTCACTTCTGTGATATAGTAAATGCTGCCTCAGTGGAATTAGTCCTGCATCCTAGGCTCCGTGGTTGGGTTTTAGGGTGTGAAGATGAAGTAGACTGTGGGCTGACACTGTAGTGGACAAAACAGCCACGGAAGTCCGCCCTGACCAGGGGACGGAGGTGTGCCCAGGTACCCTTAGGAGGAATATCTGCATAGATATTGTCCCACAGGGGGTGCAAAGACTGTTGTAGGGAGGAAGCAGGGATACAGGGAAGATTTGGGGTGTGTAGGGGGGAGGTGGGGTTCGGTCAGAGAGAGCACGAGCCATACGTGGGCTTGAGGCTCTCTGTGACGGAGGGAGGGTGTGGATAGAGAAGCAGCTGGAGAGGAAGCCAGAGGAGAGCTCATCAGGAAGGACTTTGGGGGTCTTGCTGAGAGGTTTCCGCTTTAGACTGAAAGGACAGCATTTAAGCAGAGGATGGGCCTGACAGGATCTGTGTTTCAGAAAGCAAATCTCTACTGTGATATCTGCGAGGAGGATCTGGTAGGAAGGAACGGCAGTGATCCAGGTGAGAAAGGAGTGTGATTTGGACAAGGCAGGGCAAGTGGGGAGCAAGGTCAGATGGGAGAGTTTTCAATGAGGTGGCTGATTCCTGGGACCTGGGCGCTTGCTGGACGTAGCAGGTAACTGAGGAGTCCGCAATGACACTAGGGGTCAGGCTACAGCAGCTGGGTGGATGCTGGCTGGTACCATCCTCTGGGATTGCAACCAGAAGGGGAGGAGGCATATGGGGAGAGAAGAGGGGAGAGTTTAGGAGGAAAAGTGATGAGTTCAAATGTTGTTCTTGTTTTTGAACTTGTAATTTGTAAGGTGTGAGATAAGATAGGCAAGGTCCCTGAGCATACAGGATGAGTCTAGTTTTGGGCACATTGAATTGGAGTTGCCTGGAGGACACTGGGTGGAGAAGACACATTTGACTTTCCCATCACCCTCATGCTGACATCCAGGTTCAAGAACAAGACCCATTGTTTCTATCCACAAGATGCTGTTCCTATGTGCCCCCTTCACTCGCTCTCCATCACCCACACAGCAGGAGAGGGGAGTTGTTGGAGAAGGGGCAGGAGCGGCAGGTGGGAAGGGCTGTCCTTTGGAAACAGGAAGACGGGTTTGGGTGAGGGGAACAGGGTGGTGGTTTTCTGGCTGACTCCACAGGGGTTTGGATGGGAAGGTAGGATATTCTCACAGGCAGGTCTTGCTTTTCTCTGATGGGGAGAAGGCAGTATGGGGAGAAGCATGAAAGGGTGTTGTAGACATGAGGGGATGTGAGAGCGAGACAACTCTAGCAGGTTCCTCAGGCAGGATTTGGATCTTGAGGATTCCGTGATGATAAGCCCTCACTGTGGTGAGACTTTCTCCATCAGGGCTCAGCAGGGTGAGTGCCAGGGTTGGCTGGTGAGGCTTCTCCAGGGTTGAGGTGCTGCAGGGCGGGAGAGACCCAAACAGTGGAGCCCTGGGTCTCATCTCCCTAGGGAAGGGGGCAAAGCCAGAGAGGCTTGATGGGTTGGGAAATAGAATGGGGAGGCCAAAGACTCATTCTCCCATCAGTAAAATGCTGACATTGCAGCCCCCATCAGGTTTCTCACCGTAATATAGACTATGATCAGAGTGGGAGAGTGGGGTGTTCAGACTCTCCACGTGGAGCGCTGAGGCTCAGCGTGTGGCTTCTGAGCTTTGAGGAGATGGAGACGAGACTGGTGAAGTCAAGAGCATAAGGAGCAGTGTCTCTGGAATTTGGCCTTGGACCAGCTTGGCATGCTGGGGGTGGGGAGGGTGGCATATGAGCAGGCTGTGGGTGCCAGCCCAGTCCTCCTGGGTCACAAAGACCCTGTGAGGGTCTGATCACTGGAGTGCTGTGTGGGTTGTTCTGATGACCCCTGAG